TTCGCCAATATTAAAAGTGTAAGTGTGAGAAAAGAAGACGGGTAGAAATTATTTTAGTAATTTGATTATTTCTTTTAATACCAATGGGAGGTTACAATCTCATTACAGCTTAATAAATATTAAATAATATAACCGCCTTAATTACCATTTCTGGTGACAACAATGTCTATAGCATCGATTTCTAATAACAATAATCAAAAATTAATAAATTATTACAGTGAGACCATGTAAATACATTTTTACAATACGCAACAAACCAGTCGACAGAAAAATGCAGTCTGTGAACATACCCTCTGGTGGGTTACAGGATGAATAAAACAAACGAGAAAGCGCGATCGGGGGAGAGGGCAAAGAGGAAGAAAGGATGTCCTTCATCGCCGTGCTCCTTCGGCAGGCCGTTGACAGTCTACTGCAAATGTTAGTGGATCATCCCTATCTTTAAAGAAATACACTCTTTTAATTTCTTTACAACCCTCTGCACATATCACGGTGGGCACAACTGTTTCGCGGTCTATCAATTTGAGCTGGTATCTCTCTACACATGGGTTCGGTGTGGTGTTCCTCTTGAATCGGATTGCCTTATTCTGGCGTTTAGATGTTGCTCTTCGTCCTAGCGGTCTGCTTGTTCCGTCTGAGTGCAAAGCATTCTCGTCTCTATTGTTACTAACTGCCATGTCATCTTTTTCTTCTGGGGCAATAACGAGCAAGCCAGACTTCTCTTCAGCAGAGCCTTCAGAGATGCTTTGTTCCGTAGGGTTTATGTCTTGACGAATCTGCAACGTTGGAATTGTCGGTTTGCTTTCTGCTGAATTTCCATACAACGAGAAAACCAGTAGAAGAACAGCTGAGGTCGTGTAAATGACACTTTTCTAAAGGAGAAGAAAATTAAAAAGTCATTCGATAAGTACAAGTTTCCCCAATATGACCATTATGTAAACAAGTGAAACAATATACATCAAAATAACAAGCCAACAAACATGAAGAGAGCTAACAGGTTTAAAAACTTGAGGTTTTGAATTCTGGCCCTCTCTCAGAGCGACTCAAAGCCAGGGATTTTGGGTCTGTGTTTTTTATAGTTATCGAATGGTGGTAACATAAGAAACAAACAAACAAATAATTAGTTGAATGAAAAGAGACCCTGTCGCAGTTCATTATTTTTGCTTGAAGTAGTGTTAAGTTTCATGGAGACGCTCTGGAATATATATTTTTGTTGTTGTTGTTTAATTTATGTGTGTAATATTCCTTGCCAATGTTTTGCAAAACTCAGAGAAGGTAAATGGCTTAGTGCTCGAGGGGCCATGCGAGAGTTGATGAGTGTATTGCTGTCATACTGCAAAACGTAGTTTAGACGGACGACTAGCTCCTGCAAAAGTAGTCGTATGCTTAATTGCTTCTCTTTTGCAGAATTTTGAAAGAAGGAAAACCCAATCACAATAAAACGAAGAAGTAAAAAAATATTTTTTAGACTTTGCCCTGAATCATCAATTTGCACTTACCTTTCTTTCGCAAAATGCCATTTTAGTGAATTAACCCGTCAGGCTAGTCGAGGTAGTTCGGTTGTCTTAATAACTCGAATATACTCAGAAGTGTTCTGTGTTCTTTCAACTCTCTGAATTGGACAGTCCAGAAAATCTGACTTTCTTTTATATCTACACCGGGAACCTTGAACACCACTCGACTATTACTCCAAGACATTTTTAGCCAATTACGCCTTTCGTCCAGTTTAGTAGTTCAGATTTTCTAATGAAAGAAACTCTTTCCAGTTGATCTTCATGGATGGGAGTTACCTTCCTCTACTTAAGTAGAATGCGGATCTGAGTTGGAGCAAGTCATTGTTCTGTGTTCTATTTTCGATACCGTTTGCACTTTCTTTAAATAATGCTTTTCATCCTCTTTAATGCAGTCCACGTGATAAGGCATCCTTCTTGTTTAATTGAGGAACTTGCTGCATCACTAGGCTGCAAGAATCAGTTTCTTCCGCCCAAATTGTGTAATTAACCTCACAGCGCATAGAGGGTGCTGATGAATTCACCGTCATATGGACATCAGGTGACAACACTTTTCTACGGTTCTTGAATTCTCCGCTTTTTGCTGGAGAGGTGTAAACGCTATTTTTTTTCTTTTCCTTGAAACAAACATACAACCAAAACTGAAAAATGAATAGATAATAACAACAAAAATGAGCTTATTTCTTCATATATTCTTGGACATTTTACGGGGTCATTTGGTATCCGTCATAACGGACTCTAAACTGGCCGGAAAACAAGTAAAGCGGAATAACACTTTTATTCTTCCTTTAAGTAAGTTTTGAGGGTCGGACTAGAAACAAGAACTTCCTTTTTATCGCTGAAATAGTTTTACGTGATGAATCTGCAATTGAAAGCAAAGTCATTGAACCCGTTAATTGTCGCGTGCGATGTTAATTACCAGATTTGATTGCTCAATCTCAAAGGCAGTTACAGAAAATAAACAGCACGGCAACAAACAAGAGAAGAAAACCACTTTGTTTTTCGACCATTTTGGCACTTTTGCTAATGACTCGAAAATTACTATCTTCGCGGTAGAGCTGGGTATCTTTATATATTCAACTTATCAACATTATTCCCAAGCCGGTTTTCTGTTAGGATGGGAGCTGCCGATCTATGCTTAGTGTCCACCATGAATTTAAAGATCGCAATGTTTTGGCTTTTAAAAATTTATTTAAAATTAAAACACGTAGATAAATAAGCTTCATTAGAGGAACAGTCGCAAGACAGATTGGTGCTTTGACCAATAAATGAAGTATCTCAGTAAAAGGATAAAATAGCCAACAACCCAAAAAACGTCCTTGCAAATCGACATACATCGTCAAAATATATCTGGCTTCCGTAAAACGTAGCAACAGGCGTGGCGAGGGAGGGGGAGGGGGAGGGTGCAGACGGCGATCCAGCTAAAATGCATCAAATGCCGATACTCTGAGTCAGTTAAGGTTCAATGATATTTCAAGAATGAATATGAAAAGAGTGACAAATAAATACATAAATATAAACAAATGAGACAATCCATTTACGTAGGTGAAAAATTGTCCAAGACCCACATCATCGTGTCACAAAGAGAGATACACAACTTCACGCGCCTTCTCCTATCGATATGTGATTGTTTGCTTCTCCTTTATTTTGGGTCTTAGAATAATCCGGAGATGACACACTTTGGACCCTTGAAAATGATAGTGTCTTGACTGCTCATCTCTAACTTTGAAGTTGTCACACAGCTCAGTGGGTAGGCGCCTTCCTTTGGCTGGCATGCACCATCCATTTAGAATCATCACTTTCGGAGAGTACAGAAAGGGATCTATCAGTCTTTGGCAGTTTCTTCACGGATTTCTTAAATCTTCGGTTAAAGAAATTCACGGAATGGATTCTCTCCACTTTTCTATTTCCAGTAGGTTCTCGTGTGGGTTCTGTAAAAAATTCAGCAATTATGATCTCGTAATGACGTCACATTATGTCACTGCCACAATCAAGAAGTGTTGGAAATGATGAGTACATAATTATGTGTAATTTTAGTGGCCGTATCACAATGAAGTTAAAAGCTTTCAATATTTTCTTTGTTTTGTGTTTATTAGGTTTTGGGATGTCAGGGGCTGAAATTAGCTTCCTGTGATGGCGAAGGAGTCTGTATTTTTCTCAATGGACTGATTAAAACTCGAAATTCATTTCTTTTTATTATTTTGACTTTTAATATCCTTCTCAGCATATGTCCTGAAGGTCTGAACAAATTCGACAGTTCTTGGGGTTCACCTCCTAAATTACCAAAAAAAAAAAAAAAACTTGACGAATTGAGCCTAGAGGATTGAACCCGATCTCTTTTTTCATTATGAACTTACTGATCGCATTCCATTCGTGTACTGAAATGAAATATTTCAAATATTTGCTATTTTACTGTAGACCACCTATTTCGAGGTCAGAGATCTTTCCCAGTCGAGCAAATCACTACAACTCAATAGCAGCGAGGTGGATGGGTAGTAAGGATATATATGGGGACACAGGGGGATGGATCATAATAAAAGACTCTATTTGATTTGATTGATTGATTTACTTACTGACTAATTGATTGATTGATTGATTGATTGATTGGTTTAATTATCATATCTATTTTATTGTATTTTTTAAGTTTCTGTTTCAGTTTTAATTCTAGTGAATGTTTATTAACATTTTACTCTTTCTTAATATTTATCATAATTTTGTAATTTTTAGATTTACTCTTGTTTCGACGTACCACTGAAAAGCCCTCTTCAGGGAGTGTCGATAAAGTTTGTATTGTATTGTGTGGTATTGTTGATTGATTGATTGATTGATTGGTTGGTTGATGATTGATTGATTGAGCGATTGATGCAATATTCAGTGTCCCTAGTACCGTAGAGTTCCGATGGTAGCGACTCTCGTTACTTTCGTAATTACCAGCCTTTGGGGGTCGCTACATTCGGGGGGTCGTTACTACCGGAACTTTACGGTAACGTTTGATTGCTGTCCCCACCTTTCCTCTGGGCTTTCTTCGATGACCGAGTAGGTGAGTAAGGTCGTAGTTCACTTTATACAACATTAACCTCGGGGAGGAAATTGAGATTCGCCAATATTAAAAGTGTGAGTGTGAAAGAAAAGAAGACAGGTAGAAATTATCTTAGTAATTTTATTGTTTCTTTTAATACCAATGGAAGGTTACAATCTCATTACAGCTTAATAAATATTATTTTAAATAATATAACCGCCTTAATTACCATTTGTGGTGACAACAGCGTCTATAGCATCGATTTCTAATAACTATAATAAAAAATTAATAAATTATTTAAGTGAAACCATGTTCTAAGTAAATACGTTTTTACAATACGCAACAAACCAAAACTTCCACAGTCGACAGAAAATTGCAGTCTGTGAACATATCCTCTGGTGGGTTACAGGATGAATGAAACAAACGAGAAAGTGCGATCGGGGGAGGGGGCAAAGAGGAAGAAAGGATGTCCTTCATCGCCGTGCTCCTTCGGCAGGCCGTTGACAGTCTACTGCAAATGTTAGTGGATCATCCCTATCTTTAAAGAAATACACTCTTTTAATTTCTTTACAACCCTCTGCACATATCACGGTGGGCACAACTGTTTCGCGGTCTATCAATTTGAGCTGGTATCTCTCTACACATGGGTTCGGTGTGGTGTTCCTCTTGAATCGGATTGCCTTATTCTGGCGTTTAGATGTTGCTCTTCGTCCCAGCGGTCTGCTTGTTCCGTCTGAGTGCAAAGCATTCTCGTCTCTATTGTCACTACCTGCCATGTCATCTTTTTCTTCTGGGGCAATAACGAGCAAGCCAGACTTCTCTTCAGCAGAGCCTTCAGAGATGCTTTGTTCCGTAGGGTTTATGTCTTGACGAATTTGCAACGTTGGAATTGTCGGTTTGCTTTCTGCTGAATTTCCATACAACGAGAAAACCAGTAAAAGAACAGCTGAGGTGGTGTAAATGACACTTTTCTGAAGGAGAAGAAAATTAAAAAGTCATTCGATAAGTACAAGTTTCCCCAATACGACCATTATGTAAACAAGTGAAACAATATACATCAAAATAACAAGCCAACAAACATGAAGAGAGAGAAAAAAATGAAGTTACCAACTGAGCTAACAGGTTTAAAAACTTGAGGTTTTGAACTCTGGCCCTCTCTCAGAGCGACTCAAAGCTAGGGATTTTGGGTCTGTGTGGTTTATAGTTATCGAATGGTGGTAACATAAGAAACAAACACCCCGTAGCAGTTCATGATTTCTGCTTGAAGTAGTGCTAAGTTTTATGGAGACGCTCTGGAATGTATTTTTTGTTGTTTAATTTTTTTGTGCAATATTCCTTGCCAATATTTTGCAAAACTCAGAAGATAAACGACTTAGTGCTCGAAGGGCCATTCAAGAGTTGATGAGTTTAGTGCTGTATGTCATACTGCAAAACGTAGTTTAGACAGACGACTAGCTCCTGCAAAAGTAGTCATCTGCCTAATTGCTTGTCTTTTTGCAGAATTTTTGAAAGAAGGGAAAGCCCAAGCACAATAAACGCGAAGTAAGGAAAAATATTTTTTTGAGTTTGCCCTGAATCATCAATTTGAACTTACCTTTCTTTCGCAAAATGCCATTTTAGTGAATTAACCCGTCAGGCTGGTCGAAGTAGTTCGGTTGCCTTAAAAAGTCGAATATACTCAGAAGTGTTCTGTGTTCTTTCAACTCTATGAATTTGACAGTCCAGAAAATCTGACGTTCTTTTATAGCTACACCGGGAACCTTGAACACCACTCGACTATTACTCCAAGACATTTTTAGCAAATTACGCCTTTCGTCCAGTTTAGTAGTTCAGATTTTCTAATGAAAGAAACTCTTTCCAGTTGATCTTCATGGATGGGAGTTATCTTCCTCTATTTATGCAGAATGCGGATCTGAGTTGGAGCAAGTCATTGTTCTGTGTTCTATTTTCGATACCATTTGCACTTTCTTTAAATAAAGCTTTTCATCCTCTTTAATACAGTTCACGTGGTAAGGCATTCTTCTTGTTTAATTGAGGAACTTGCTGCATCACTTGGCTGCAAGAATCAGTTTCTTCCGCCCAAATTGTATAATTAACCTAACAGCCCATACAGAATGTTGATGAATTCACGGTCATGCGGACATCAGGGGACATCAGATGACATCACTTTTCTACCGTTCTTGAATTCTCCGCTTTTTGCTAGAGAGGTGTGAACGCTATTTTTTTTTATTTTCCTTGAAACAAACAAACAACCAAAACTGAAAAATGAATTGCTAAAAACAACATTAATGAGCTTTTCTCTTCATATATTCTTGGACATTCTACAGCGTCATTTGGTATCCGTCATGACGGATTCTAAACTGGCCGGAAAAAAAATAAAGCGGAATAACACTTTTATTCTTCCTTCAAGTAAGTTTTCAGGGTTGGGATAGAAACTAGAACTTCCTTTTATCGCTGAATTAGTTTTACGTGATGAATCTGCAATTGAAAGCAAAGTCATTGAACCTGTTAATTGGCGCGTGCGATGTTAATTACAAGATTTGATTGCTCAATCTCAAAGGCGGTTACAGAAAATAAACAGCACGGCAACAAACAAGAGAAGAAAACCACTTTGTTTTTCGACCATTTTGGTACTTTTGCTTATGACTCGAAAATTACTATCTTCACGGTAGAGCTGGGCATCTTTATATGTTCAACTTATCAACATTATTCCCAAGCCGGCTTTTCTGTTAGGATGAGCGCTGCCGATCTATGCGCGCTTAGTGTCCACCATGAATTTAAAGATCGCAATGTTTTGGCGTTTAAACATTTATTTAAAATTAAAACAGGTAGATAAATAAGCTTCATTAGACGAACAGTCGTAAGACAGATTGGTGCTTTGACTAATAAGTATCTCAGTAAAAGGATAAAATAGCAAACAACCCAAAAAACGTCCTTGCAAATCAACATACATCGTCAGATATCAGGGGCTTCCGTAAAACGTAGCAACAGGCGTGGCGAGGGAGGGGAAGGGGGGGGGGGGGGTGCGGACACGCGATCCAGCTAAAATGCATCAACTGCCGATACTCTGAGTAAAGGTTGAATGATATTTCAGGGATGAATATGAAAAGAGCGACAAATAAATACATAAATATAACCAAATGAGACAATCCATTAAGGTAGGTGAAAAATTGTCCAAGACCCACATCATCGTGTCACAAAGAGAGATTACTCTCCCTCTCTCTTCGTGGAAAAAAAAATCCCCTTCCTTTCATCACTCCCGTCTAAATATAGCAACATGCCTCAACTTCCGGTCGTGTACTTTATTTACTGCTTGCGGTAATAAAGGGTTACCCATGCATGCTGAATGGTTAATTTGCAGTTCCTGTACCTTCAGTTCTGAACCACCGTCAACAAAAAATCTGATACCACTTTAAATTTTGTGGACAAACAGGGCATAATGACAGCATGAACACAGAGGTTCTTATGTAGTGCCAAACGAAAATGGATTATAAACTAACAAGGGAACAATCTTTATCAACGCTGAGCTGTGATATTCTATCAGGGTGATAAGGACAAATGACAATGCAGAATTTGAAAGTTTCAGTGTAAATTGATGGAAATAGATCACCTCCATTAAAATGGGTAATCCTTGCAAGCCTCCGTCCATTTGTGACATATATGACCAGACACATATGCGCTTTTATTGACAACACTGCGGTAGTGCAGCTTATATCGAGAAACAACCGCAAATAAGTCAAGTGGAACAGAACTTGAATTTGTTGCCAATGTGAAGGCAATGAGCATCAGCAATGATGAAATTGTACGTTACAGATTCTAGTAGGCTGTATCGTAAGGAGGCTTAACAATAAGAAAACGAATTTAGACCAAAACTTGGCAAAAATATATGTCAAAGAGAAAACATTCTTCTGTTTAATTTCACTTTGTTACTAGTGCTTATTTCCTCTGTATTTATTCCCTAGAACCAAATCACAAACTAACTATGACAGCTCTGGATTCCGTGAAATCCGACATGCAAAAAAAAAAAGGATATCTAATTTTGAATTCGATACTATTGCTGGTTCTTTACGCTGTTAATCAATAATGAACGTAACCAAAATCACCGTTGATGTGAAACCTTTTGATAGATCCTTACAGCTACCTGCGACAAGATTGAAAAGGATATACGCCAATGGAGTAGGATCTATAATTGTGATTATGATAAACGACACATGGGTTTAGATCGCGTTCAAAATTAAGCAAATTAAAAAGGAAATGGTCATTTTTCTGCGACATAATATCAAATTACAAGCACACTCGACAGTTTCCGAAATTTGATGGACATGACGCTATGCATGTCACTGTCTGTACGGATGGGTGGACGGACGTACCTTCGAGCAAGAAGTCAGTTGACTCAAAAAGGGTGCGACGGACGCATGTAAGTCAGAGATGACAAAAACCAAAACATTGGAGATTGGTGGGTTAGTATAGGTAATAGCATGATTTGTAGTAATATTTGGCATACATACCACGAGTGATATTTCGAAATTGTTATACGTAATTTCACGAGCTGTTAAGCGAGTGAAATTTCAGACAATTTTGAAATATCACGAGTGGTATTTATGCCAAATATCACGTACAAATCATGTTATTATTTATTTATACTACTACGCACAAAAGGTTTGTAATTTTCACATGTAGGTATTTCAAATTAAGCTGAAATACCACTGCTCTAAGCCAATCAAATTGCAGTAATTTCTCATGTAGTAGTATAAACCAAATTATATTACCAACAGTGCTTCACTAGCAAGGTAAAGGTGACTTCTAATTGAGAGTGGTACATTTGCTGTAATTTTGTTCCTCTTTTTAGGAGGCAAATCAGTTTCCAAACAACGGGTCAGAAAGGCTTTTAATCTCTTATCAAAGTGCCTGAAATATTGCCCGTAAGCATACCTTCGGTACCAATTTACCGACTACGAAATACGGCCCTTTGACTAGCTGAAAGTTATGAACAGACTGACAACGAACAAATGAGCTTCACTTTAAATTTTATTTCAAACATTTTGAGGCACTTCCTTCTGTTCAAGTTATTTGGATCACCTCAGCAAAATTTCAGTCTCCCGCATTTTGCGGTAGCAAAGGCGAAAATAACATTACTTCTGATAACGGTCACCACCTTATTTCATTAATAATATTTATACTTTCTTCATTCAGGCCCCATCAAGCCTCCCAAATAGGAAACTTCCACATGCCTGACGCTTTTGCCTTTCATAAACAGGCGACAGAGACGTGCTCCCAGAGTGGTAATATTTAAAGAGCATCAAGTCCTTCGTCTTCTCTTTTTCATTACACCGCTTCAACCACGACAAACTACAGAATACTTAAACTAGCAATACACTACTTGTTGTTCGTCACGTTCGGCTTAAATTGAATCGTTCGCAACTCTACATAAATGTAGAGACATTATATTTATATCAAGAATCTCGTTTTCTCGGTCCGTAAGGATCCACGCGTTTCTTTCCCGCTTAGATAAACGGCTTGGGCGCGTACAGGGCCGGCCACGAATCCGAGCGGGAAAAAACGCTCGGTCCGCAACTTACAAAAAGGACCTTGAACTCGGAAAGTCAAGAGGTATTTCCCTTCTTGCATGTATACATTTCAGACACCGTCGTCAGCCAACGATGCAAATTTTCTCCTTGCAAAACAGGCGATACCATTTTTTATAAGATCTATGACTAAGAAGAGGTTTACAAAAAGGAAATAACGTTACACAATAAGAAAAAATCCACCGTAAAATTATACCAATGAATCCAAGGTGTAACCAATGAGCTTAGTTGCAATTCGAAAGTTATAGCCTACTTTCCCACTTTAGAAAGATGAAAATGCCGCATAATACCCTAATCAATCTATGGCGTTCAAGCCTATTATAATAATAACTACTAGTAATAAAAATAACACTTCAATTAACAGTTTTACTTCTTGAGATATCTAATCTAGTTCTACATGTACATGGAACATTTCACAATAAAAAATGAAGTGCTAGGGATAGAACATTATTTTACGTAAATTAGAGCTCAATAAAAACTGTCACATGGTACTATTTAGTTTTTTCTCATCTTCTCCCCAAATAGATTTGCATTTCTTTATAACCATAACTGATAAAAACTGGTTTCCATAAATGTAATGAAAGTGTGGATCATCTCAATCGACTAAGGGTGTTTACCTAAACTAAGAACTGGCCGGCTAGATCGGTCAACTTGAAAGTGAAAGTGAAAGGGGCTTTTTTGGAGAGTTTTTGCTAAGTTTCCAACAATGCTGCTCGCAGGATTAACGAATAGACTAACCTGGGGGTTACGTATCTGGGTAACTGACTACCTACTCCTCCCCTAAAACAAAATTAACACTCACTTGTCATTTACGGCAAAATTTTGATTTAGGGGATGGGTAGGTGGTCAGTTACCAAGAAACGTGAACGATCCCCTGACTGGACAGCCCTGACTGAGAGCGGAATAGACACCTTTCAAGGTTTTTTCAACTTTTGAGAAAACCCGTCGACATCACTGTAAAGGACGCCTTAAAATTTGTAAAATTGCCAAGTTTAAGTCATTCGTCTTAATGGTTGTAGTAGGACAGTTCATGCTGTTATATATGAAGTAGACAATTCTAAAAACCGGTCTGAACCGCTCGAGGGGTGGGGGTTAGCACGTGCGCAGCTTATGTACCAGCACAGATTAGTCCGTCTTGTGGTGATTTAAGTGTTATGTTCTCAGTTCTACTCGTATGAAATCCTTCCACATTTCTCCACATTTCTACATGGTGGGGTGGGGGTGGCATGTTTTTTTTATTACTTTTTATTTTATTATTATCATTTTTTTTAATGGCGCTTTTTCCATTGGTGTCGACGGATTTTTTCTACCTTGTCAATGTCACAAGTTGAAAAAAAACACACAAACAAACAAACAAACAAACAAACATCGTGGAAGGGTGTATTCTCTTCACTAACGGGCAGGTCTGGCAGCCCAGTACTGAGTGACAGCCTGAACTTACGCAACAGGACGGGAGAGAAAAGAAGACGGCAAACCTTCCGTGACAAACGTGAAAATAATTGTTTGAAAAAACCTTCCGTCAAACTTCTTGACCTTTTTAGCAGATCTTTTTGTTAAAGAACAGAAAACACTAATCATAAGTGAAGATTACGACAAAACACGCAAGTGACAGCCCTGCCACTTTTGTCACACGCAAGCGTTTTGCAGCCTTCTTCTTCCTGTCGTCCTGTTTCGTAAACTCACTGTTGGCAAGGGCCCTATGTCGTCTTATGATGTGTTTAAGGAATCAAGATGATCGTTATAGCCTTGCTCTATGTAGGATAGTTCGCATATAGCCTGGCTAGATGTAGGATAGTTTTCATATCAACGCCCGAATTATCCTAATCGTAAAACATGCTCAAGGCAATATAGACGATCCGGTCTCACATTTAGAATTCAGACGTATACTAGACCATTTAAGAGTAATAATAAACAATGTCTCAGTGCTTAACTATTTGTCGATGACATTAAAAATTTTACAGCACATCTACCTAAATATCGATGGTGTCATCGTCCAATTTTCTTTGCTCCATTTTCTGCACCTATTTGACATGGGACTTTGATCCACTTGCATTTTGTACTTTGGACATAACTATATCTTCTGATAACTCGCTTAAGGCGTTTGCATAGATGGTAACATGCGCTGGCTAGATAAACTGTTAAGGAGAAATTTTCTTAATAGATGAAACAGCCTATAGTGAAATATATATATATATATATGTAAAAAATGGAGATTTTCTTGGCTCGAAAATAGGCAAAAAGTTGAGTTAGGCAATTAGAGCGGCCGTAGACCGACGCGGATGCCCACCTCCTTGGTATAATTATGTTGTGAAGTATTTTGAAAGTTATTTTTAAGACGGATTTGTCTCATCTTTTAAGTTTCGTTTTTGTTTCATTAAGTGGGTAAGGGTTTGTTTGGATTTTGTCCATAGGTGTTTTCCTGTTTCCATCTTATGTTTTTACTTCAGGCTTGTACTTGAATTTTTGCTTAGCTCGCGAGTTTACTCAGTAATGTCATTTTACGAATATTCTTCGCTTGCCGTTGTCCGATGTTAGTTTTTCATAGGTGGTCATGTTTGTGATGTTAGAGCTGATCTTGGTTCACTAGTCTCGTTGAACTTTCCGTTTGGGTTTGTTAACTAGCGTTTTAGTTTTTCAGTGTTCGTAGCTTTTCGCCGATTGCAACCATGTAGGTTCAGTAATATCAAAACATTACCCACACTAAGTTCACCTTGTTTTTATTCCCACGGTCAGCTAACCCAAACATGACCAGCTTTGGTTACAAAAACGGCGGCTATTTGACTAGTTAGGGAGAAGAGTTAGGATTTAGTAGAGAAGAAGAGTAAGAAGATTAGGATCGTTAGCAGAAGTCAAAGAAGAACTAAGACCAAGATGTAAATCAGATTCCTGGTATCTCATCGTGTAACGAGCGAGTTGCTCGAACACACCGCCACAATTAAAATTAAGCGCCCAATCACATCGATCACACGTTAAAACAGGTGAGTTAAATTAACCTTTATAGTTCTTCCGTTTCTACCTCTTTGAACAGACACAGACACTTCTGCAACTACGACACTTGGATCTCTCCCTTTGGTGTCCGCATTGAGGAGGTTTCACCGTAATTAGCTACCACCGTGAAGTAAACTTTAACACACGGAATATAGGCAGTACACGTGTACTGTTAGTAATATCAGTATTATTTTTATTACGAAGGATACATGGAATGCCTTTTCGATTGTTGACTTGTGCGTACTTATTTTTCCTTTGGTCATTGGCTTGACGTTTTCGCCCACCCATGTGATGAAGACGAACTTCACCGTTGTTATGCCATCAACAACATCTTGCTGATGAAAAGAAAAGACAAACAAACAAAATCCAAATAAATCGACAAGACCCCCCCGCCCCCTGCGGCGTTCACGCTTGTAAAAGATAAGTTATGATTCACCATAAGGAAGAAAGTATATGATTAGTTGGGAAATTTCCGTAATTATTATTATTATTTTTCAAAAATTATTATTTCATTGTTTTGTGATATTTCTACAAAACCAAAGTGCAGTCACAGGAAACCGGATTGTCCTGCAATAGCCCCTCTGGCAGGTTGACGAGTTTATCACGAGTTTACCATCCCATCCACCCCCCCTTCCCCGCCCCCCACCATTTGCTCCTGGGTATTCGTTGATGGCGTTTCATAGGTTGTTATTGTGTTTGTTTGACTTTGAAAATCCGGTCATCAACATCTTTTTTTCTTGAGCGAAGTTCCTTCCCTTTCAATTGGCTATGACTAATGCACGATGAGTCGCATGCTTTAAAGAGTAATCACTTAAAAAAGCGCGAATAATCATATTTACTCACCACTCGTAGTAAGGCATAAGCAACAATATCATTTTTCAGCTGTGTGACGATTCCTTGTAACCCGTCTGCACCTTTGCCGATCAAGTCAATGGGCTTCTTAGGATTATTGTCCGCATATGAACCAACACACCTATAGGTATAGACGATCAGAATAAAGTTAATTTCAGTGAGTTCGTCCTTTACTCAATTTACAATAGAGACCGCGTTAGGTGTTGTTGACGATGATGATGGTAATGATGATGGTGATGATGATGATGATGATGATGATGATGATGATGATGGTAGTGGTGGTGGTGGTGGTTTTGATGACGATGATGATGATGATAAAGTAACAGAAATAACAATAATAATAGACAATAATATTCAATTAATAACACAAATACACACATTTACATTTTTTAACCTTACCAATTAGTTGACGTATCATCACTTCGCACGTCAGCTATCGCTCCATATACAGCATCGTCGATGTTGACAGCGACTGCAGGCAAACACGCAGACACATGATAAGAAAACACATCAAGAAACCAACATAATAACCCCCCTCCCCTCCCCCCAACCCCACATACCTAACAACAGGAATAGAAAGACCGATTAATAAATCATCGCTATTATCATGTCAAGTACTATTCTAGCCGGAGAAAACAACCGACATTTCGCGACGTCACCGCTGGTTACCCGCGAAATGACGTCTGAGAGAAGAACGCATAAATTCCATACTGATGATGCGTCACTACCCGGATCTGGGTAGTACTTCTGATTGGTTGAAGCAAATTTCCCACGCAGCAAGACCAATCAGAAGCACTGATCTGGGTAGTGACGCGTCATCAGTAGGGAATTTCTGCGCTAGTTTCTCAGACGTTATTTCGAGGGGGAACCAGCGAAATGTCGGCTGTTTTCTTAAGCTATAACTAGCCAAGCCAAGTCGAAGGCTTACCAGATCCCGGGGTCTGAAAACTAGACACCGCCTTTCCAGTCTTGATAACATTACTGCTGCTAGTAAAACCACGATCCTGCCACACGCACACAAAAAGGCATTAAATGGTGCAGACATACAGTCAAAAACAAGCAAACAAAAAGATAAAAACAAAAACAAAACCCAGTTTGACGTCGACCGTGTTGAAAGCCTCATTGAAAAAAGCAATTCCGTCTACCTGCATTGATCGTATCAAAGTTACAACTATACCCTATAAATTATAGCCATGGTGACAGAGGGCTAGGAACTGTTTTCGTCATTCATATATTGTTTTGCTCGCTAATTAAAAATGCCCTTTTTTGTGTTATTCAATGCAACACATTAGCGGTTTTTTTTTACAGCGGTCTTTTAATAGCACTTTCATGTGTTCAGTTATAAGAAAACTAAGGAATGGATTCAACAAAATTAATGCTGCCTCGACCATTGACTTTGTGACTGACAGAGAGACGTACAGAAATAAAAATAAATAAATAAATAAATAAAAATTGAAATAAACAAAGATCTAGAGGAAGCAAATCCCCTTAGTGATTCTTCGCTACCATTCCTGGTCACGTTTGAATTTAGAAATGTTTTAGAGGAGAGAGGAAAACCGGAGTAAGCAAAGAAAAACCTCTCAGAGCAAAGTAGAGAACCAACACGTTAACGCGTCGATGCCGGTATTTGAAACCAACCGACATTGGTGGGAGGCGAGTGCTCTCAGCATTGCTGCACCCTTGCATCTTAAATGCACTGATAGCCGGACTACTGAATACTGTGTTGTCTAACTTCTTGATATTAAACAACATCGGTCACCTGTCTTTGGGCAGCATCTGTGACATCGAGCACTTTGTTTGTACGTCCACTGAATCAAAATAGAAAGGAAAAAGAATGAGACAATTACAATGCAAACAACTTTCTGGTTAACAACATCAACGGCGATGATAAAGGGGGCGCGCCACAATCATGCTACATTGTATACCACTAATCACGGCTTACGGCCATGAGTCACGATAAACAAACCCTACGACAGAACAACGTGCACGCCGCTGCTGTTGTTTGCGAGAGTCAAAATTGTGTTCCTTAACATAGCACGCTACCATATTGGTATTTACGCAATGTAAGGAGGAATCCAGTTAACATCGAACAGAAATGGACATGAAAATATCAGTGGTTCAAAAGCTGGATAACGCTATCCACGGGATAAATCTCTATCCCGTGGATAACGCAATTGCTTTTCCTAATACTTGTCCGTTTGAACAACTGGGGCCAGGTGTCCACATCAAGCGCGGGCTCTCAGGATAATCCTCAAGGACACCTATATTACCGATGCAAAGGCCATTATGTGTTAACCTAAAGGCTATTAAAGGCAATTTCGGCTTAATAAATAATCTTGCACTGACATTAATGTTAACTCGGTGTTTCAAGAACGACAAGCTTATCATTTGCAGCAGCCCGTTCCAGGAAAAGACTCATGTCCAAGTCCTCATATGCGGTCACGACATTACAGCACAATGCCAGTCTTCATTTTAAACAATTAAAATAAAGGATGCTCGCCCCATACATTGTAGCCTCCCCGCAGACGTCCTTTGGGGGTCGTTTGTCACGCATTCATTTCTCCCCCACAATGAACGCGTGACAAACGAACCCAAAAGGACGTCTGCGGGGAGGCTACATACATTGTAAAGAAATCCCAATTCTGGAATCCAGGAAATTTTTGCAGTGGAATCGGGAATCCGGGAAATTTTGGCTTACAGAATATCAATGTTGAGCTTGAATCTGGAATACATGTACAGCTAAAGGAATCTGGAATCCCACCATAAACGATTGTTATACGACTAGATGAGTTATTTCTGCAATTTGGTTAGCTTAGAGCAGTGGTATTTCAGCTTAATTTGAAATACCTACATGTGAAAATTACAAACCTTTTGCGGGTAGTAGTATATATGGCAAAAATACCACTCGTGATATTTCAAAATTGTCTCAAATTTTCCCTCGCCTAACGGCTCGTGAAATTACGTATACCAATTTCGAAATATCACTCGTGGTATTTATGCCAAATATCACTACTATTCATGCTATTACCCATACAAATCCGGAAACTAAGTTCCATTGACAGAGAATCCACAATCCAGTAGCTGGCATCTCGAGTCCACAGCGTGGAATCCAGAATCCAATAATGTTCCCTGGATTCCCTTACATAGGGCTACAATGGAGGTCAAAAGTGTTGGGACCTTTCCAGTGATATTGCTAAAACTGGCGAGCCCTCCCCTCCCATCCCAATCAAAGTTCAATTTTGAGCAAAATGGGTGGAAGGCCACAACATTGCTGGGGCAAGTTGGGGGGAAGATGGGATGAACCCAAAGCCAAACAAAAAATTGTCGTTAGGAGTAGGGTCCTCCTACGTAACAATTACTTAGAAGGGCTTTTTCAAACAGTCCCAAGTTCTTTTGTCCTCCATTGTAGATGTCGGACCGACATTTTGTTATGTAAGCAAAGGCAAAAAGGCATGGGTGAGGAGAGGCTAGGGGCTTCTGGGTAATCTATTAGCCTTTGCGTGAAAAGTCACCTTGTGTCTGAAATAACTTTCATCATCTCCTCTTCTGTCACATCTGACTTGTGTGACGTCTCAATGATGCAATGACTGGGCTATAATGAAATCATGGTGGACAATCAATTTGTCAGACACAGTACAACACTGTATGTTGAGACAATAGTGTACAAATGTACAAGTGTAATGATTAAGAAGATTGCCCTTACATGGTCGTCACTTCCAAGCATCTAAATTATCATGAAAAGCTCCGGACAACAAATAAGTGAATAAGTAAATAAACAAATAAATAAATGTTTAACAACCCATGATCTTTGCAGCTTCAATCTGTGTCACCAGGTTACACACTGAGCATTGGATAGTGGCAATTCATATCCAATTAAATCCACATTGGCCATGCCAAACATGCATCATGTATGCACATGGGATGTTTTAAATAACCAAACATAAATCACAACAGAAAATACCTGAAAATGCTCCTTAACACTGCCATGCACAACACCAAACTTGCCTTTCTTGCTAAATGGAACACTTTCTCCCACCCAGTGAACATAAACAAATTTTACAGTCTTCTCAACATAGTTGTCCACTAACTCTTCCAAGCGAACTGCAATACATAATTAACATATTTTATTAATACTTTCTTGCTTGTACACATTTATACACTGTTTGTTTGCATTTGGAGCAGGCATTTGAAACTGTATTTGAGCAAAATGAAGTTTAAAGTCACACAGATGTCTTTAAAGAAAAAATAATTTGTTCAACTTGGTCTTGTTACGATCTTACAAAATTAATGTATAAGCATACAGCTGTACTTGCAGGAATAAACCATGCCATTTTGTGCCATTTTGTGTTGTGTCAATGTGCATGTAAAATTATTGAGAAATCAGTCATGGGTGAATCTTTTGTGTTTTGTCTAGTCTTGTGAGGCTCAATCCACAATGCAATTCTCAATAACTTGTTCTCGATTCTCCATTCACACAGGAATCGAGAATTGAGACTTCCAATGGACAGTTTTTGACCAGTACTGTAACATCAACATAAACATCAATATTAACATACATGTAATTAAAACAGTTGTCTTTATAATGGTGATACAGGTCAATAGAAAGTGCATGATGAACGAGCTTGAGGGTACGGAGTTGCCTATGAAGGTGCCACATGATGCAAAGATGACTGTTTTAATACATGTAGTATTTTTGATTTTTTTTTTTTTTTGTGGACATGTAGTTGACAACACAAACTGAGAAACTGTAATGGACTTTCACCCCGGAAGTGGACATTGAAATCTCCAAATCCCATTTATAAATATTATTGTAAAAATGTTGAGAAAAGAATGTGCCACCAAAAAGTTTTATTTCCGAAACCATCACACTACGGGATTTTTTCCACCAATCCAAAAGAAGAGGTTTCATTTGGATGGTCACAGTACAGGAGTTTCGCACACAGGCCCAAAAATTAGTCCCATCTTTAAGAAATTCAACATTCATTGCACATTGCTGAAAGGAATAAAAATCAACTTATAGCATGCAAATGACCAAAAGCATCTAACCTAGACCATACATGACTTCACCATCTTCAAGAGAACCAGCCATTTCATCAGCCCCTCCAGTTCCTTTTGCTTTGTAAAAGATAACATTTGGGTTACCTTCCCAATGAGCCGCCAGCATCCTGTGGAAAAGCAGAAATCACACTATCTTAATGGCTATAACAATCAAAGCTCTCTAAGCAGAATTTTCATTAGCATTAACTCTACTTATAGCTGCCTCGACAAAACTCTATTTGAACACTAATAATGATAATGATGATGATGGTGATGATGAATGATAATTAACATGCCATTTCCCTAAGAAAAAAATCTGAAGATACATTCATTCTTCTAAAAGTAGCAAGATTCTCTATTTCCCCTATATATCAAGGTTAAACAAACGTGTTTTCCAGTATGGGAATAAAGTGTTTATTTAAATATTACCTACCAGCTCATTTGTTTTGTTGTTGTTGTTGTTGTTGTTGTTGTTGTTAGTGTGTGTGAGATTAGAAGTACTGCTTCTGAAGTGCAGTTCTGGTTTCTCATATTCAACAAGGTTACATTTCATTTCAGAACGATTTTTTCCAAAAAAACTGTGAAATTGGGAGTCTTGGCATGAGGCAGCGAAAAAAAGAAAATAATAATAATAATAATAATAATAATAATAATAACAATAAAAACTTTATTTGTGTTTTTGAATGTACAATTGTAAATAAATTTACAAATGCTGCTTGAGATTGGATTATTCAAAAAAACAAAAAAAAAGAAAAAGAAAGAAAAAAGAAAAGAAAAGAAATCAAAATTGCATTAAGTCTGGGATATCCCAATTCCTATTTCTACAACAAAAGATGTAATATGTTGCTCTAATGGCTATATTTATCATTTTCTTGATTACATAAAGTTGTTGCTTTTTGCCAATGCCAATGTCATTCATCATGACTAACAACGTGGAGCATTCATCGGAGAAAAGTCACCAAGGGAGCTCATGGAGAGATTTACAAATTTCACACATCTGTAATTTCTAATCATTTCTTCGATCAAGTTCAGATATTTATAATAATAATAACAATAATAATAATAATAATAATAATAATAATAACAAGGAGATGCGACTCACAGCAGAATTGTGAGAATTGGCAGTTCTGGAATCTCAGGTGTCAAGCTCTTATCGATTAATAAAACCCAACCATGCAAACCCACCTCCTCCCAACTAAAGAATAAAAACAAAGGAAAAGAATACTTTCTTGAACATTAAATAAGGTTCACCTAAGCTTAAAAAAAATTCAAGTGAACATATGTATCTATCATAAAAATGCCTCAGTTTTTCTAGAGCAAGGGAAAGTTCCATTAAACCTAAATCATACTTCATTTTACCATATTATCATTACAATGATTGTAATTGCCTCTGTGTAAATTGAGTAAAAATTTTGTTCGATGAAAAGTAACAAGGTATTGATAGCTAATTACCCTGTTAAGCATAGTGCATGCAGAGGATTGTTTCAATAAGTTAATTAATATTCATGCAAAATATTTCACAGTTTCTGATTGGCCTAGATGCCATGCATAATTCATCATAACCAGCTATTGTCAACCAAATTTGGAAGAATTTTGCGATATTGAAGTGATGACATCAATCATGCAGCAAAATTGACAGGTAATTGAACCCGTTAACCGAGAAGACCTGGGTATGAGGTTGAGTTGTTTTGGCAGTGAGTACAAAATGGCAGAACATTTTACTTGTTTCACAGCGAACCCTTGTCTAAAAACATAGCAAGAACAGCAAGAAGACAACTCGACAACGACATCTGCTATTTGGAGTATATTTGCAGACCTGAACAGCCCTTTATCTCCTACACTTCCCGATAAACAGGCACTATCGAGGTGAATTTAACATCGATGGAGGTAAGCATGTTTTAGCTCAAAAATCATGAACACCTGAAAAATATTTTATTGCTTTGTGACCAACCACAACAGAGATCCAAGACATGTGAACAAGCCGCAAAACCACAAACTTCTTACCATTGTTGCTTGTGGTTTAGTTTTCTCACGCCTGATTACAAACCAGCAATAACATATTAACTCTTTGCAGAAAAAATTCTGGTCTTTAGGGTTTTCTGAGTCTTGGTGTTGTAGATATATAATCTATAGCTATCAGGTTACTAAACAGAGAATGTGCCCCCAACTGATGATACACAACTCATTTTGACCCTGATGATGACTGCTGCCGAGGTTGTTGTCAATGTCGGACGCTATAAACAATATCTCTGTCAGGACCATCGTTGGCTCAGATCACCTAACGGTGATTGTACCTATAATAAAGGAACTAATCAATCTAAGCTAATTGTCCCAATACTTCTAAATGCTCGACCTGTTCTTCTTGCAGGAAACTTAATAATACTAAACACGTGCCATTATCCTCGAACATGTCATTCATGAAAAAATAGGCCTTAATTTTATAAATTAATTTTATTTATTTATTTCAACATTCATTTTTGCATCTAAGTGCTATTACTGTCAATTCATTAGTTTGTAACATTTCAGCATATTGTATATTAGCCTGATGTTTTTGCCGTGTATAAATAAAAGTGTGATGATGATGAATAACTCAATTAAGAAATTACCAAAAAATGAGTCGGAGGTATCAAAAAAGGACTTATTATAATAATGACTGTTTACTAAAAGACAAACATTGAAACAATACATTAATATACATATAACGGGGGGTTTTTGTTCTGTAGGCTTGCAACCTTAACCTGACAAAGGTAGACTCGTCTCTCATTAATGTAGTGAGAGAAAGTGCATATATGACCTCATTGTAAATGCATACATGTATGAAAAATGATACGCATAACCCTAGTTTGAATGCTCTCAATCTTAGAAGCCACTATTCTCCAGTACAGGGACAGCATATTACTCCAAAACTGGACAAACAATAGTTACAAATACCTTAGCAAAATAATGAAACTGGTGGAGCATGAGACTACTTTATAAGATGAAACTTTTCATGGTGATCCTTACATGACAAAAGCACCACCGGAGGGACTCACAACCTGACAAATGCCCAGGGGAGGGGAGGGGAGGGGGTGCATGCTTGGAATTGATTAATCTTGTACTCATACAGTGTAGATGCTGCTATCACAAGAAGTTTCCTTGCAAGTACTAAGTTAATTCTTTATATAATTTACAACCAATCAGTACTCAGAGGGACAAGATATTAAAGTTTGGATCAAATCTCCCGTGCTCCCGTGTAAGGCTTAGTAGTAGGGTCTCAGTAGACTGATTAATCATGTGATCTCTAACCCAGACTAAGGAAATATAAGCACACTTATTCGCCATCATGCAATACCGTTATAATCTAAGGGGGAAAAGGTATTATAAATGAAAAATTTAAATTATCGGCGAATCATGCATACGAGAGGACAGGAACGTGGAACGTTGAAGCTGAAGCTTGTGAACAGCTGAGTAAAACTTCACGCAACGCCTACTAAGGTTACTCAAGTCACTGTCGAGTTAGAGAAATTTACCA